TTGGTTTGGTTTGGTTTGTTTTAAGGCACATCAACCTCAATGGGTCATTTAATGCCGACAACTTTTTCCATGGTAATATATTTTTTTTGTCAAAAATCTATTTCTGGTAATAATTTTTACAAAATATTTATGGTATTAAAACCTATTTTCCACTTTCAAAATGCTTTTTACCCCAGATTGGGGTTAACTATTTGCCCATAGCTGGGACCCTAACAGGTGTTACCACCCCGTGTCAGGGTGGACCTGGGAACACCAGAAATTAAGAGGTGGTTTCACGCCCCACAAAGCCTCCTGATCAGAAGCCTTGCTGTTGGACGTAGTTTATCGTCTTACCCAGGATGCGGATGTAGTTTATCGTCATACCCAGGACGGAACAATGATACAGATCCAAAAATTAAGGCCGTGTCTAAGCTTTTGACTCACATCCTCAGGAGTGGGTAGAGTCAAGTGAAGAAAAAGAAATGTAAAAGTCTTTCAAGTCACTCATTTTCTTTTCATCGTCGTTATGTTAGCTCAGTAACATATTCCATAAATCCACTAGCAAAAACAGATTTAAAATTATTGATGATGTTTAGTTTATATCAACAAAAGCAAACGTACATTAATAAAGATAACTTTAATCTCCAGCGCTATATTATTAAATGTAAAGATTTACTTGATCCTCCACTGAGTCAGGTTGTGACACAAGGTCGGTTTTCACTCGGGCCGCTGGTCTAAGCTGGTCTTAGTTGGCCATAGCTGGTCATAGTTTATCCAAGCTGGTCAGAGCTGCGAAATACAGTTGGAACGATTTTCGCGTTGACTTTTCTACAGTTATGAGTTCAGAATTTTCCATCTCTCAGACTGGCTAGCGCCAAAGGCCCGAGAATCCCTCCTACGCTATGCTTTAAACATTATCTAGGTCGGGTGTGAAGAGAAAGGTTCACGCCTTTTCCAAGGGCATTTATACGAAAGTGAACGTAGCAGACGTGGCTGAATTTTTTACCAGAGCCTGGCGTTTTCTCTTTCCTCACCGGTAACCGTTACGCTACCCAAACCTAAACCAGCAGTGAATTCACTCATGAAATAAATGAAATGAAATGAAATAAAGAAAGAATTTTTTTAATTCATATTTATTTGTTCATTTATTTACTTATTTAAGTTTTTTTAATTATAAAATTAGAAATAATAAATGTCAATACTTATCGAGTTTCGTAATTTTTAGAAGACGGGCATATCTGATAATTGTTTGGGCACCTCCAGATGGTTTAATGGTTAGCAAGTTTGTCTCGCTCGAACAATTACGACTGAGTAGTGAGTTCGATCCTCACTGGGTGCCCCATACTTTCGGCCTTGTGTCACATCTAAGCTACGCTTGGAAAATAATTATCTAATAATTGTATAAAACAAAGTATTCTTCTGATATGTAAATTTCGCAACATTCTTAATAGGACTTTTCACACACGTTCATACGAAAAAGCACACACATATGCCCACACACACACATATATATATGTTAATGGTCAGAGTTGAATTAGACCAGGAAGCAGTAGTATTAAAAAGTGTTCAATATAAAAAATAAAAATTTAACATGTAGAGCTTTTAAGTATAAAAAATTAGGAGACCAGGAGGGGAATGGGCCGATTTCCTAATTATATATATATATATATATATATATATATATATATATATATATAAGTGTTTCACCCCAAGCAAGGCGAGAAGCCCCTAGGACGCAAGGGGTTACAGAAAATTTGGAGCAAGATCAGATAGGAGTGATAGAAGAAAGGATGAGGAGAAGGGTAGTGGATAGATCAAGGCAACTGGAGATGTCGATTGACATTACATTTGAATAGTTGGAGATTATAGCTCTCAGGGAAACTGGAATAGGGAAGGGAGTTCCACAGGCGCTAGGTGCGAGACATGAAGCTATTGGAGTAGAAGAGACATTTAGGAGTTTCGACAGTGAAAGGGTGAGAGCGGGAAGCCAGCCTCGTAGGGCGCTTGAATTCATGCAGTCTGAGAACCAGCGAATGCAGCTCCTCGGAGCAATTACCATGAAAGTATTTGTAAAAGAGACAGAGAGAGGCGACGGTGCGTCTGTGAGAAAGTGACTGTAGACGAGATGCCAGAGCAGGGCCACTTATATGAACCTTGAGACAAACAGAAGGGGCTCCATATATGGCAGCAAAACTCCAAGGGCAAATGGTTGATTTGTAGATTTGAAGGATCGATTCCGGGGAGAAAATTTTCCTGGTGCGGTACAGGGAGCCAACTTTCCTTGCGGTGGACGAAGCAATTAACTCAATGTATTTGTTCCATCTCAGGTCAGCAGTCAACGTGAGACCGAGCAGCCGCAGAGATGTGCTCTCGAGAAGTTGAGCGTCAGACATTATATATATATATATATATATATATATATATATATAGAGAGAGAGAGAGAGAGAGACAAACATGATAGATAGATAGATAGATAGATAGATAGATAGATATGAATAAAGTGACATAGATAGATAGATAGATAGATAGATATAGACACACTGAGATAGATGTGAACAGACTGTGATAGAACGATAGATACATATGAATATAGATAGATAGATAGATAGATAGATAGATAGATAGACTGACATATTTATTACCCATATTTGTATTCTTTATACCTTTTATACTCGTGTAAAAGTCGAACTCATGCTTAGTGCGCCCATTAATTTTTATGTTTTTTTGTTGTTTTTTTTTGGCGGGGGGGTCCCTATAGCTCGTGTATAATTTTCCAGCTTCTGACTAATATTAGTACACATACCGTAGTCCAATATTGTAGTACTAGGCATCATCCAGGATATATTTTATAACAAATACATTGTCTTCATTCTTTCTTGTACGAAGCTACCCCAAAATGATAGAAAAAAAACACTTACCGTAAAATATCTGATAAAAAATTTAGATACCGTACTTTCGTTTCCCTTCATGCTTAATTTTTAACATCTTCAAAAAAATTATCTGTGTATAATGCGGCCCCACATACTACTGATCATAAAATCCCGTACTATACGTGAATATACAGAGCCTTTCATTTCCCAGGCAATAAATTGTTAAATTAAACTCTGAGTTGGCTTCCGATAATTATTGTATGTTATTATATCTAATTTAATAATACTTATCACTCTAGTCTGACATTTATTATTTTATTGACAGAAATTCTGTTGTTAAATTTGAAATACGCTATATTATAAGATTTTATGTATATTAATTGCTAGTATTAATAGCGAGCATTATTATTTTGTTTTACTTATTTTCTTTCTTCATTTTTCTTTCCTCAATTTGTTAATTCGTTCGTATTTGATTCAAAATTGCTGACAGGTGACCATTTTCCTTTCCCCGCACTGATTCCCATTCGCTGATTGTTACTTTGTTTTTGTTTTGACGCTTTTCCAATGTCAGCCGATTCATTGTGTATTCACCAATTTTCGTTCAGACGCCACGATCAATTTCACTTTTGATGCTCTTCACAAGAGCCTTGAAGAGCCACTTTCGCTTGACACGCTTTATGCTTGTATTCTAATCAGAGACAATGAATTCCATTTCCCTGTCAAATTAAGTAATCGAAATAAAAATGAAAGAGAAAAGGAAGCAGGCCAAACAAATCTTCAATTCTTCCAAACAAAATGGTTGAATACGAAAAAAGAAAGAAAGATAGACTGAAATTAGGAAATTAAACAGAAAAAAAAATAAAATTTTAACGCAATAATGAAAACCTGACATTATTATTTGTTTCAGGAGGTTTATAAATTTGACGCTCCGGCAGTCTTCGGGTGATTGGATTAAATGGAAATAACTGAGACATAAGGAAGAGGTATGGCACGGGAAACTAGAACAATCTACCCCGGTGAACGAAATAAAGGGTTCGGTTGGAAATTACAATCACCTGAAGAAATTCGGAGCTTACAACGGCTGAAACGTAAATGAAGATGAGGATAACAGTCCGAATAATCTAAATAATACAAGTAATCATAATACCTCATCTCAGAGATATAGACAGAGGAATAGACAGAGAAATATGACATAAAGGCCGGAGCGTACAACAGCCGAAACTTTGTGAATATGGCAATGAAGATGAGGATAACAGTCCGAATAATGTAAATAATGCAAGTAATCATGATACCTCATCTCAGAGGTATAGACGGAGGAATAGACAGAGAAATATGACATAAAGGCCGGAGCGTACAACGGCCGAAACGTTGTGAATATGGCAATGAAGACGAGGATGACAGTTTGAATAATGTAAATAATGCAAGTAATCATGATACCTCATCTCAGAGATATAGACAGAGGAATAGACAGAGAAATATGACATAAAGGCCGGAGCGTACAACGGCCGAAACGTTGTGAATATGGCAATGAAGATGAGGATAACAGTCCGAATAATGTAAATAATGCAAGTAATCATAATGCCTCATCTCAGAGATATAGACAGAGGAAGAGACAGAGATATATGACATCAAGGCCGAAGCGTACAACGGCCGAAACGTTGTGAATATGAAAATGAAAATGAAGACATCAGCCCGAATAATGTAAATAATGCAAGTAATCATAATACCTCATCTCAGAGATATAGACAGAGGTATAGACAGAGATATATGACATCAAGGCCGGATGAAGATGAACAGCTCGAATAATGTAAATAATGCAAGTACTAATTATTTATTTACTTTTTTCTTCTCAATATTAGTCGGTAGGTTCGCCTATCGTCTGGTTCAATATTCTCCTTGATCTTTTGAAGTGAAGTAAAGGTTTATCTTTTGTTTCCTGTTTAGGAATGGGTTTCCGGTTCCTTCTAAATTATCTTCATTCTCTTTCACTCCCCGTTTCCCCCTTGCGGCTTCTTGTCATTATCGTCTTGCTTTGGGGTGAAGTGATTAAAAAAGAACTATAAAGAATTTCATACACAGACATTGATCGATAATGCGGAATCTTTATTAAGGATGCAGAGGCTCTGGTCGTAGCCTAAAGGTTCAGCAAACTCAATGATGAAAGAGAAAAGAAAGAAGACGAAACAAATCTTCAATTCTCCCAAACAAAATTATTAAATAAGAAGATAGATAGATAGATAGATAGATAGATAGATAGATAGATAGATAGACTGAAACCAAGAAATTAAAAAGAAAAAAGTTCTTAACGCAATAATGAAAACGTGTCATTATTATTTGTCTCAGGAGGTTTATAAATTCGAATGAGTGGAAACAAAATAGCGGCTCAGATTGAAGAATCGGAGAGCCGAGTTCGAATTACAGTCGAATCCATTACATTCACTTACGTGCTTATAACCTTGGGAAAGGTATGAATACTCTTCTTCTCCATCCAGCCTTGGGTAAATAGCAGGATAGACCGGGTTCTATAGCCTTGGATGGCAACTGGTTAACCACAGAAATAAATGGCAACCTACTGTGGGAAAAGATGTGCCCTGTTAGTCATATATCGAAAGATACATGATCATCTAAACGTGTATCAGTTATGGAACATAACTGATGTTAGGTTAGGGGTCGTTGTTTGAGGTTTAGATGATGTCGTGTGATGACGAAAAATAATTACAAGTGCTGAATTGATTGAGAAAACAGAAATCAAGAGAATGAATAAAATGAGGCAGAAAATAATATTCTATTGGATGTTTTTAGTATAGAGAATGTCCAAGTATAATTCCTTAAAAAAGTGTAAATTAAAGGAATGTTCTCATGATAGTCCCAGTAAAAATGAACTAATCCTGTTGGTCAGTTAAAGAGTGAGTGAGGTTTCTTGTCTAGACAGAGAAATAGAACATGAAGGCTGAAGCGTATAACGGCCGAAACGTTGTGAATATGGCAATGAAGATGAGGATAACAGCCCGAATAATGTAAATAATGCAAGTACTATTTATTTACTTTTTTCTTCTCCTCAATAATAGTGGGTAGATTCGCCTATCATCTGGTTCATACTCCTCCCCGATCTGTCGAACTGTAAAGGATTAACTTTTGTTTCCTGTTTAGGAATGGGATTCCGGTTCCTTCTAAATTGTTTTCATTCTCTTTCACTCCGCGTCCCTTGTGCCTCAGTGTCATTATCATCTTGCTTAGGGTGAAGTGATTAAAAAAACATAAAGAATTTCATACACAGGCATTGCTCGATACTGTGGTGTCTTAAATGAGGATACAGAGGCTGGCCGTAGCCTAAAGGTTCAGCCAACTCATTGATGACTAACAATGTTATTGATTCAAATGGCAATACTCTGGAACGGATTCAGATCAATTTTTTGATGATTCAAATGCAACTCATGTATGTAGGACTTGTGACAAACGATGTCAGTTATTGTTTAGCAAAAAAAGACATATTCGATCGTAAAATTATTCAAACAATCTTAATTAGTGCCGTCAAATGATCATAATCGATTATTATTATAATAAGGAACCAGTCAGGATGGTAACCGTTAATTCAACCGATGTAACCTCGTGCAAAATTAACAGAAGTATTGTATATGAAAGCATGTGTATGTATGTTTCTGTTTTCTCTTTGTGTAGATGTGCTTGAGTATGTTTCTGTCTGTGTGTGCGTGCGTGTGTGTTTGCATATTTATTCAGCCATGATGAAGTGTTCCTTTGATCACTGTTGAAGGTTAATCAGTCAGTCATCAATATCGCAATTACTCAGCGCCTTTTCATGGGGGAATGGTTAACAAGCTAGACATGCAAAACAAACAAAACTGATGCATAAAGGTGAAAAAAATAAAAGCTGAAAATTAGTAACAACATTTAATATGTAAAGAAGAAGTTGTAAAATTGGAGGGGGAAAAAATAAAGGAGGTGAAGAGCGAAATAAAATACGCAAAAGAAATGTGTAAAATATTGAAAGAAAGAAGAAAGAAAAAGCTGTGTAAAAAGAAAGTAAAGAAAAGAGATAAAGAGATGAAAACAAAAGAAAGAAATTGGGTAAATAATGAAAAGGAAAAGAAGATAACTTGCTAGAGCGAAATATGTTAACTATAAAAGGGATGAAAATTGTACGTAGTTTTGAAGATTACAATAAAAAGGAAGGAAAAGACGAAAAATGAAAAAGAAAGAAAGAAAATGGTCAAATCAAAAATGGAAAGAAAACAAAAATGTTAATTGAAATTGTAATATGATCCTTTTCCTTATAAGCAAATATTCAGTATTCACTGACCGAGTAGCCAGTGTTATTCGAATAATGGTTTTCTTCACTCCCTGGCAATTCGGACTGTGGCCAAATTGTAGTATCTGTCCTCATCTGTAATTGTAATATTATCCTTTTCCTTATAAGGAAATATTCAGTATTCACTGACCGAGTAGCCAGTGCAACTCGAGTTACGCTTTTCTTCACTCCCTAGAAATTCGGACTGCGGACAAAATGTAGTATTCTCTCCTCCTCATCTGTAATTTTAATATTAGCCTTTTCCTTATAAGCAAATATTCGGTATTCACTGACCGAGCAGCCGGTGTATCTTGAGTTACGCTTTTCTTCACTCCCTGGCAATTCGGACTGTGATAAAAGTATAGTATCTGTCCTCCTCATCTGTAATTGTAATATTAGCCTTTTCCTTATAAGGAAATATTCGGTATTCACTGACCGAGCAGCCAGTTCTACTCGAGTTACACTTTTCTTCACTCCCTGGCAATTCGGACTGTGGTCAATGTGTAACATCTGTCCTATTCATCTGTAATTTTAATATTGCCTTTTCCTTATAAGGAAATATTCGGTATTTATTAACCAAGCTTCTAGTGTTTCTATCGGTTAAAATTTATAAAATCATTATATGATATTTTCCGGAATATAGATTTCTCATTTCTAGTAACTGTTATCGCTCTTTCCAGGACTGATCTGCGTTTCCTTCCTCAGCACTTGGTCGAGCTAGTATCGAATGTCAAGTACTTGATGACGTCATTATTTTCATTTCGGGTTAGAGATATGATATCCATTTTAGTAGTTGCTGCTGTTGAAAATCCCTAAGTGATGTTGTTTATTTCATTTGATATAGTACCTCGCGATTATGTAGGGTTTTTCCAAGTGGTTCTAAAAAGGAGGGTGCCCTCAGTAAGACCTGTAAACTTCACACGGTGGCAGCCATTTTTAACAAATCGATCTTAGAAAGTGCTTATAGACAGCTGAGAGCTTAGACAATTCTTTAAAAAAAACATTAAAATCGGTAAGAATGAAAGAGATAAAAAGGAGAAAGATGAATGAATAAAAGTTAAAGATAAAGCTGTAAAATTAAATGGAAAGAAAATGTCGTGGAAAGAAAAAAAACGATAAAATGAAAAATATTGTGAAAGAGAACAAACAGTAGAGAAGAAAAAGCGAAAATAAACAAATGTTAAAACATTAACAGAAAGCTTACATGAGAAACAACGTAGGGAATTGACATTGAGATTTATAGTGAAGGGGTTTCCCCTTGTCTCCATCACAGTAATTTAAAAAAAAACACAAAGAAGGTAAAGATTATAAAAAGCAAAAGGAATAAAAAGGAAAGAAAGCAGGAAAAAAGTTAACAATAAAAGAATGTAAGCATTTTCATGGTAATAAAGAAGTAAAAATAAAAATAGAAAAGAAATTGGTTAAAAGTATAAAAAAAAATTAAAAATTGTTGAAAATAAAAAGGAAAAAGAGGGACGAAATGAAAAACAATTTTAAAAAAGACAAGGTGGAAAAATTTAAAAAAAAACAATAAAAAATGTTAAAAGTCAAAATGGAATAAATTTGGTCAAAATTAAAATAAATGAAAAAGAGGATAAAATAGATAAAGAGGAAGAAAACAAATAAAAACAGAACGAAAGGAAAATAAAGAACAAAGAAAGTTGACTTAATTACCTTCAGTCAATTTTCTTTGTTCTTTATGGAGAAATAAAAAAAAGGAAAATGGAAGCAAATTATAGACAGGGAGAAATTGATAATAAAAAGAAAGGAAAATAGGCTAAAAAAATGTTATAATAAAAAGCAAATGGTCAAAGGTAACAAGATAAAGAAAAGGTTAGAAAAATGAAAAGAAAAGAAAAGAGGTAAAAATAAAAAATGAAAGAAAAAAACGTAAAAATAAAATAAAAAGAGGATACGAAAAAAAGAAGGTGTAAAACAAAAAAGAATAAAAAGAAAGGGACAAAAACAAAACAAAAAAATGTAAATAAGAAATAAAAAACAAACTTCTGGGAAGCATGAAGGATAAAAATAAAAAAAGATAGAAAATAGATAAAAAAAAAAGAATTGAAAAAAGAAAAAGTGTGAAAAATTTAAAAAAGAAATACAAAATAATTTAGAAGAATAAAAGGAGTGAAAGGATAAAAAAGGCGTAAAAATAAAGAAGAACAAATAAAAAGAAGCAAAAAGAAAAAAATGAAAATAAAAAGACAGAAAAATGTCAAGATTATTTTTTTAAATCTGAAAAATTAAATTAAAAATTAAGAAAGGAAAGCAAAAAAAATGGAGGAAAGCTTATTTAAAAATATTTTTAAAAATGTGTGAATAAAACATAAATAAATACATAAATAAATAAAACAAATAAAACATAAATAAATAAATAAAACAAAAAATAAACAAAACATAAATAAATAAAAAATAAATAAATAAAATATAAATAAAACATAAATAAATAAAACATAAATAAATAAATAAAACATAAATAAAACATAAATAAATAAAACATGAATGAATAAATAAATAAAACATAAATAAATAAATAAAACATAAATAAATAAATAAAAAATAAATAAATAAATAAAACATAGATAAATAAATAAAACATAAATAAATAAATAAAAAATAAATAAAACATAAATAAATAAAACATAAATAAATAAAACATAAATAAATAAATAAAACATAAATAAATAAATGAATAAAACATAAATAAATAAATAAAACATAAATAATACATAAATAAAGAAAACATAAATAAATAAAACATAAATAAATAAAACATAAATAAAACATAAATAAATAAAACATAAATAAATAAATAAAACATAAATAAAACATAAATAAATAAATAAAACATAAATAAATAAATACAAGAAAGAAAAAGAAACAACAAAAACTAGGAATAAATAAAAAAAAAATTAAAATCTTGGAGGGGAAAAAAGATAGAACATAAACAAAGACATTCCTAGTGAAGAAAACACTGTCCACACATAAAGAAACCCCGAAGATAGCGACCAAATAAAACAGATAAGCTTTGCGATTTCAATGAAAGCAGATAGAGAAGAGGAGACCTATGAGTGAAGTTGACAATGGGGTGCCAACATATTACTCTTCGATGCTTACTCAGCTACCAAGCACCAACATCAGCTTCTGCAAAATGATAGAATTCCACCAGGAAAATAAAAATAAAGATGAAAAAGACAAGGAAGGTTTCCATTATCATCACATTAGCCTTTTCATAATACCATTCACTTGGTGAGATTATTGTTTATTTTGTGGAGATGCCAGGTGTTATTTTACGTAAACCGAATCTGAGTACCGAGGGAGAATTTTGGTTGAAACTGCTCGCGTTCAATCAATACGACAGCTCTGAGGAAAGACATGCATTCTATTCCTGATCAGTGCCATGCTACGATCGTTGTTCGAGAAGTGTTCATTTGCGCAAACATCTCACCCATATCTTCCTTATCTGCAAAAGCAATAGCAATGAAACATTTAGTAGCATTTTAATCAACTTTGACTGCGAATAATATCAATAATAAATAAGTAAATAGATTACCTCTTTGTTGAAAGTTAACTCTTTTCAATTGCTTATCTTCGACAGGCGAACGTGGAAGAATGCCAGGCAAATATGTATTTTCAATTTACTTACTCAAACAGTTTATTTTCTCGCACTTCCCGCCTGTGAAACTTCCTTCCTTTTACTTGCTTCTCTGGTAATTACAGTCATTAAAAATTGAAATGCAACATCAGTCGCCATCTTTTATCTACTTCAATCCCCGTCGTGTTTAGTCCTTCCCTCGATCGTCCCTATAATCAGTTTTTTTCTCTCACTTTCACTGCCTGTAACCTTTTGCGTACTTGTGGCATACTCGCCTTGCTTAGGGTAAATTAATTAAAGAAAAACCTTAACATATTTGGGAAGGATATTAGAATAATGCAGATCTATCCTGGCAGCAAAGCGCTTCATATTGATAGAAAATGAATTCAGTAAATATAGAAAAATAGAAAGGAGCGTAACACAAGGATGTGTCTTCTTACCGGACTTATTCAACCTACAGAGTGAGACGATTCTGAGATAATTAAAAATCTGACCAGAATTAATTATTAGCACCCACAATATTAACAACATTAGATATGCAGATGAGACAGTGTTTATCGCAGAAACAGACAGCAAACTACAAGAACTCCTACAGTAGCCAGTGAAGGAAAGCGTGAACAAAGGACTAAGCATTAATTGCAAAAAAGCAAGAATACATGATTGTTATAAAACGGAACAGCTCAACGTACAAATTACAAGTTGTATACCAAAATTAAACAAGTGCAAAAATCTAAATATCTGAGAAGCGTTTTAACAGAGGACGGAAAGCGCAACACTGAAATCCGAAGCTGTATTGGAATAACGAAAGAGGCCTTCGAAAACCTAAGCAAGGTATTAAGAAACAGAAAATTTTCGTTAGAAAAACAAGAAAAGCGTACTGAACTGTTAAGTAATACCAGTCCTCTCATATATTAGTGAATGCTGGACGCAGATGAAGATAAGATGTGAAGGAAATGTAGTTCTACAGAAGAATGCTGAGAATGCCATAGACTGAACATGTGAACAACGATGAAATTTTAGAGAAAATGGAAACAGAAAGCATACTTATACTTAACATCAAGACGAAATTTCTAAAGCAAATAATGAGGAAAGTGGGGTTGGAAAATTTGACACTCCAAGGACATACTTCAAGGGCAAAGAGGGACAGAGGAAAACAGTGCATGACCTAGCGAGTTTGAGTAAATGGATGGCGGGACAAGGTTTAGAAAGAGATAACAAAAAGAAAACATTTATTAAAGGACAGGAAAATGTGGAGAGCCATGATCGCCATCGTCATGAAGAGAGACGGTACATGGAAGAAGAAGTGGGTATTATAGAAGCAGCATTGTCCCTTAAAGCAGACAGGCTGAGAAATATTCGAATGGTTTTATCGTCATACTTGAGCTGAATTTCTTTGACCTCAAACTAATTTTGTCATAATCCTATCATGGAATGCTTTTATTATTAAATTATTAAAAGTTAACTAATATTATTACAAATAAAATTATCACGGCATTTTAAAATCGAAGGTTTTTATAAATAAAAAAAATAATTAAGCAATGCAAGATGGAAGCAGAAAAAATATCGCAATTGAAGATTAAACACTTCCTGTCGTGGATGGAGCTTTGGGTCTTGTAAAAAGAAAACTCCAGAGCAAATCAATAAAATCTACAGTACACCACCTCTCCAGGAAATAAAAAAACAATTCGAACAAGCACGGCTAATATCCTGCGAAGAACTTTGTCTAACTTTTTTGTTGTTAAAAGTTGTCTTTTATTTAAGCAAGTAGAAACAGCAAAAACATCAATGGTATTTGTGCGTAAGGGAATATAACGAAACCAATGGGAAATAGAACTCAACTCTTTTAATAACAATTCTGAACCATTATCAATTACACCACCCGCACATCCAAGCTTACAGCACCTAGTACTCGCAAGCGGTACTGGCCAAGTTTGATGTTGCATAACTTCGGTGATCCTTCGTGAACCGGTGTTTCAACTTGATGTGGCCGTAAGCCTCTGAGAAAACAACATCTCTTTTAAGAAAGGAGATATTTGAATAAATATACTGCCAAGTAACACTTACTGCACTTTATTTTGCATATATATATATATATATATATATATATATATATATATATATATATATATATATATATGTGGCAAGTAACAATTATTGTACTTTATTATATATATATAGATAGATGTATAGTGCAACCTCGTTTCTCGAACGTCTCACAAATCGGTTTTCGAACAGAAAATTCGAGATGAAAATGCCTCGGTTATCGAACAAAATGTCGGTTCTCGAACAGCATAGCCGAACCGAGTTAACCCGAACGGAATCATTTCTGAGTCAACCGCCATGTTGTGTACATTTGTGTGTTGTGGCGTGCTTTTCTTTTCCAATTTTATTGTACTCTGACGTTTTTTCTCTACATTGATTCCTGTTGGAAAAATAGTTTCGGTTTACAAACATTTCGTGTTACAAAAGGCCTTCAGGAACTAATTAAATTCGTAAAACGAGGCTCCACTATATATATATATATAGATAGATAGATAGATAGATAGATAGATAGATAGAGTGAGAGTAAAATTCTTTTTCCTTCAGATGCATATGTTCAATCGAATATCAACATGTCTCGTATCTTTTCATTATTTCTCACAATCAGCTCTTATTTCAATTCTGTCTTGGCGTTCCATTATTAGTAAGAAGACAAGAGGAAGTTGTGAAAGTAGACGAAGAGAGGGTGTCAGGTAGTCGCCTGTTAATCATGGACATGAAGCCCAGGTCAAGACAGAAGAATAAATCAGTAAAGATAATTTGTTTTACTGACTACCGGAACGATTTACGTCTGCAATCAATTGTCGCTGACTAAACGGATCCTTTCGGGCCATCCAACAATCATCATTGGTGATCTTCATGATCAGATTACCTATCTTCAGTAAATCACTACGAGGCTTATTGTTTATAGATCTTCTACTTCTCTCAAAGGCTTCGAATCTCCGTTATAACTTTTTTTGGTTCTTTTTACCTGTCATCTACTCAAACGTTGCAAAATTACGCCACATTTTTGGATTTGATTTGTCAGTTTTGCTTACTTTATCCTGCTTGGAATTTATTTTTCTTTTGATTTTCTTCAGTTTTTCCTTTTGTATTTGGTTTATGACCCTTTTGTTTAGGTTTTGTCTTTTTTATCGTTTTATTTTTTGTTTAATTCTTATTTTTTTTTTTTTACATTGTCATGTAGTACAACAACACTCTCGCAGATTTCACCTGCCACCTATCGGACAATAGTGCTATGAGATCAGTCAGTTATGTGCTATGCGTGACACACGCTTAGACGATCATGTATCTTTCGATACCTGACTAACGTGGCAAATTCTTTTTTCCCCTGCAGTAGGTGGCCATTTGTTTCTGCGGTAGACCAGTTGCCATCCAATGCTATAGAACCTGGTCTGTCCTGCTATTTACCCATAGCTGGGCGGAAGAAGTGGATTCATACCTTTCCCAAAAGTATTAGCACGTAAGTGAATGTAATGGATTCGACAGGAATTCGAACTCGGCTTTCCGATTCCTCAATCCGAGCCGCTATCCATTACTCCACCGGGCCATGAGATAACACACTAATAAGAAGCATAAATATCATCGTAACATTAGACAGATACTCACAAAAGATAGCAAGTTAAAAGCAAAATCAAATTGTATAAATAGACTTATAATCATTTCCATCGTTCAGAATGTTGTCCTCATCTTTATTAACATATTTACGATGTTTCGGCCGCTGCATGCTCCGGCGTTCTTCAGGGTATATATATTTAAATTTCGACCAGAAATTATTGAGTCTATGGGGGTAGATTGTTCTAATTTCCCATGTCATCCCTTTTCTGTGTGTCTCAGTTCCAGTTAATTCTCTTCAACACAACTCTTCAAGTTTTTGTTCCCTCTGCTGTGACCAGGGACTGAACTCATAACTCTTTAGGTCACACTCACTTTTGGATTACTTAAACTAAAGCTTTTATCCACACAGCCAATGGATATAGTGTAAATAGTTACAATGCCTCATACATAAAAACAATTATAATTTAATGGACTGCATCCCCAAATGTATATGAAAAGAAAACAAAAATCACACCTCACCAAAATGACAACTTGTTCTCGAAAACTCACCAATTTTGGTTAACTATCCTGATGATGACTACAGAAAGTGGAAAGCTTGGACCATATTTGTTGGGCGAAAAGTCAGCCAGCTTCTTTCAAAGAACAGCTATGTGACGTCGTCCCCTGGTCGCAGCGCCAACTGTGACGTCCTATCCTGGTCTACCACGGCACCAACTGTGACGTCCTCGCCGCGGCGCCAGCTGTTCGCTCCTCGCTGCTCCGTTCGGGTGTCGCCGCTCCAAACGTGACGTTCGCCTGTCGCGTCAGTCGTGTTGTCTCGTCATCTGACGACCAACTGGCTTGGTATCGGTCGCGGCACCCAAATGTGACGTTCTAACTTTTTAGTGATTCGGGTGGGAATCTGGTTAGATTTTATATCAGCCTCGTCGTTCCCAACTCGCTTCCAACGCCTGGTTACCAAAGTAACTGCATTGATCTCCAGTCTGCCTACCCACGTTGTGAATTGATCTTAGGCAGACGAGATCAATCAGTAGTTGGGGCCGTAATGCAAATCGGGTTCAACGGGGGTGACACCACACAATATTGGTTTTTCGGTGTGTCTTCGGACGAAAGTCGAAAAAAAACTTATTTTGGTGGTCTGGATCTAAGTCGCTCTTCAAAATAATTGTTCTTGGATTGAAGAGGAGTCCGGAATTTGCGTGAATCTTTCAAGTCAGCTATCTGCGAGGCGGAAGTCTCTCGAACCGAACTCGAACTCAACTCGAACTTAACTGCAACTCTTCTCGAACTGATTTCTGCTTGCTGCGGCTTCGCTTATATAAACGCCGACCAAAACCGGGGTGGGTTTGTCGGCGTCGTGGGTTCCTCGATAATTCTAATTACATATCCACCTCTCTGGTTAGGAATTTCCACTTTTTGCATTTTTGGGAGCCTTTTCTTACTCCCACCTTCTCACCATACTTCAGAGGGGCGTGAGCTTCCCTCCCCACTTCTTCGTAGCAGCTTTTCATACCTATCCTCTGGATGGGCGGCGACAACCTCCTTCGTGCGTCACGTGATCACCACTCGACCAATGGTGTCTTAGTCGGGCGTGGACGAATCCGCGGCTTTGTTTCAGGAAAAAAAATATCTTGCTTAACTAAAAAAAAAAAATTATTTTTTCTTTTCCTTTTCTTCCTCTTAATCGCAGTTATCATTTTCTCTAGCCGCAAACAGGACAACACGGTGGTCATAACTCTTGTTCTACACCTGGACTTCGTCCGTCATCTTATCGCTAATTATCCGAATGTGTGGTCTTTTTAACACGGCCAAACGTCGCCCCGAAAAGAACATTTCTAAGTTCCCATTCATTTCCTTTCGGTACACATTTCTGATAACATAATTTTATTATCGCAGGCTAAAGATGTTCCGTCGAAAGAAATCGGCCAGTGGACATATCGTGTGCGGCTTTTAATTTTTCATATCTATTCAAAGCCATTTGGTCCACCTGTTTTCCGTCACTTATCGAAATAACATTTTCATTTGGATTTTTCTTCGGCCAGTCGGCCAGCAGTTTGTTTACGTATCCCAGATAACACAGCCGTCACCAAAACACACACGATTCCTTTATTCACTCAGAATTTCCCTGTCATTGTAATGACACTCTTTCGCCATTTGTTACTTATCAAAATATCCTTTACCCATTGTCTCTTAGCCGTGGTGTTCTGCTTATCATCCACGCTTTGAGTCTTAGCCTCTCCTTTCCTTCTTTTCTTTCTTTTCTTCTTCTGTCTCGTTAAATGGTGCCACAGCTACTTTGTGAAACAAACTCCCGATTGGGTGAAACAAACTCCCGATTGGGTGAAACAAAGTCCCGTATGGGTGAAACAAACTCACGTGTGGATGAAACAAAATCCCGTGTGGATGAAACAAACTCCGAAGTGGATGAAACAAACTCCCGAGTGGGTGAACCAAACTGCCGAGTGGATGAAACAAACACCCGTGTGGATGAAACAAATTCCAGTGTGGATGAAACAAACTCCCGAGTGGGTGAAACAAACTACCGAGTGGGTGAAACAAACACCCGAGTTGGTGAAACAAACTTCCTAGTGGGTGAAACAAATTCCCGTGTCGATGAAACAAACTCCCGTGTGGATGAAACAATCTCCGAAGTGGATGAAACAAACTCCCGAGTTGGTGAAACAAACTACCGAGTGGGTGAAACAAATTCCCGTGGCGATGAAACAAACTCCCGGGGGGATGAAACAAACTCCGAAGTGGATGAAACAAACTCCCGAGTGGGTGAAACAAACTACCGGGTGGATGAAACAAATTCCCGTGGCGATGAAACAAACTCCCGTGAGGATGAAACAAACTCCCGAGTGGGTGAAACAAACTACCGAGTGGGTGAAACAAATTCCCGTGTCGATGAAACAAACTCCCGTGTGGATGAAACAATCTCCGAAGTGGATGAAACAAACTCCCGAGTTGGTGAAACAAACTACCGGGTGGGTGAAACAAATTCCCGTGGCGATGAAACAAACTCCCGTGAGGATGAAACAAACTCCGAAGTGGATGAAACAAACTCCCGAGTGGGTGAAACAAACTACCGAGTGGGTGAAACAAACACACGAGTTGGTGAAACAAACTACCGAGTGGGTGAAACAAATT